ACTTACTAGCAGTTAGCCTACCCTAGAAAGTTTTCCATTGCATATTTACTTAAACGTTTTGTATATTTGTAGTGATAAAGCCTCTACAGTGTTTATACCGTATGTTCTTCAGGCAGGAAATGAGAGTAACACGGACCTTGAGCACTACACATCTGTTAGACAGTGGTCGCCTTTTCGACCTAAAAACCGTTTTCCGAGCACTTGTTCAGGCACCAGCAAATCGGATCCTGCGTTGCTTGGAACCAGACTACATAGGGCGCAGCTAGGTAATGTGATCGATCTCCAATTTTCCTGGTAATCTCGGGCCTAGATTAAATCACACTTTGATTTGTATTAACTTCCTTCCTCACTTTTTTATTTCATGCATTCAAGCTTGAAGGCAACATCACTACTGGTTATTCTCCGCGTTGAACAGTGACCTTGATGTTATGTAATGATTTCTGCGCAAATTAAAGTCGTTGTATCCATGCCTGTGTGTCATGCAAAGACGGGTTGCAATTGATAAGGCCCCCCAAAATTAGTTGGAACCACTATATCCTGCTGTCTACGCCTTCTTTAAATTCGTACCCGGGACAAAATGCTTTAAATGTATTTTAGAAAAAGCATGCTAATCAGGTCTTCGTCAAATTCTATAAACAAAGAAGTATCCTTCGGTTTTAAAGAACTTTCAAATTGTAAGATTTTTTGAAGGGCATACATTATCTACTCGAATAGAAGCGTATCTTTTATTAATGCTCTTCCTTGGGTATACAACGTAGCCCATATCCCTAAACGAAATTATGAGCATATAGGAAACAGTTTGTGGACTGAAATCCCTAAAATCAAGTAAAACGACAGATCAGCCTCAAAATTATACCGGAATTGGAAAACTTTTGCAAAACCTGCATATACCTTTCCCTTGAGAATAACACTTGCAGAATACGTGGTTTTATAACAACCTAGTACAAGAAAGCCTTCTACATAATGTTGCATGGCAGCAAAGGCTTCAACGTCAATGTTGTACGCCATCAAGCGGGCATTTTCAGTTTTCGATGAGGACTGCTTTTCTCATAAGATTTTCTTGAATACATGATCCAAGCCCAGAGACCGTGGGCGCAACAGGATAACAGCCTCCTCGAAAGGGTGCGGCGACGGGCCACAAAATTACTAAGGGGCCAAGGAGCACGGCCATAGGAGATCCACCTAAATAACTTTAAGCTCTATTCTCTGAGTTATAGGCAATTAAGCACAGGCTTGATAGAAACTTTCCATATCGGGCGTGGCTTGAACTGCTCCATCCTGTGTGCCGAATTTTTCCAATTCGCCACTACAACATATCTCCGGGGACATCCCTTCGAACTAGGTTTGCCCCAAGGAAGATTGGATGTGAGGAAGTATTTTTTCTCTAACCGGGTCGTGGAACTGTGAAATAACTTACACGAGGCTATTTTATGTCCCAATCTCCGGAGACATTCAAACACTGACTTGATATCCATGTGCTGTAGCACAACGTAGACTATGTGAATAACTAACTATAAGACAACAGTGAACAATGTGACTCTGTCTACATTCACCCGACTGCAGTTTCTTTACAATGTTTCGGAGTGATGAAATTCTTATGTGAAAAGTAGGAAGTTCCAAGGTTTAAGCCTATTTTCCTCAAATACACTGACTGACTGACTGAAGTAACGGTATTTAGGGTACTTTTCCTGTAAGATATATTTATACTGATAAGGGCATCGAAAATCAGT